GCGGGCGCAGCACAGGCACGGCCACCAGGGGGCGCCGCCGCCCCTCTGAACTCACCACCAAACGTCCCCATCCGGCTGGACCGGCCGCTGCCTCTGAGGACCTCGCTGGAGGCCGGGAAGGGAGCAGGCCCCCGGGCTCTCTGCTCTGCAGACGCTTTCAGTTTAGCAGGCGAGGGAGGCAGACCCCGAGACCAACACACAACAGTGGGCGCCTGGCACCGCCGGGGACACAGAGAGCAGGGCGTGGGGGGGGTTGAAAGGGCAGGAGACACAGCCTGTTCCCTGGGAGGACAAAGACGTGCAGACTCACCAAGAACACGGCTGCCCTTGGCGGCGTCCCCCCCACAGGCCCCAGAATTGCCTCTAACCCCGCTTCACTTCAGGAAGCCTGGGGAGCCCTCCCTCCTTTCCTCCCATTCACACCTCTGGAGCTCAGGGGTAGCTGTGGGGCCTGCAGTGGCGTTTATTGAGTGCCTGCTGTATGCCAGGGGTGGGGGCAAGAGGGCCTGAGCAGCCCCCCTGCNCTCGGCCGTCGTGGGGCCCTGGCAGAAGTTTCGGTTATAGAAGTGACGGTTGTCCCTGGTCAGGGCCATGCCCAGCTGGGCCCAGAAGCTGCTCTGGCCGCTGGGCTGGTGGGGCCAGAGAAGGACGCTCTGGCGGCAGAGGCGCTGGCGGAGCCGCACGTAGCGGGAGCGGTGGGCGTTGGGGCTCAGGATGACCAGCACCACCACGTCCTTGCGGTCCTCCAGCAGGCGCTGCTGGGCCAGCAGGAAGCTGGCGCGCAGGAGGCCGCTCACCCGGTCGGTGTGGGCCAGCACGAACAGCGTCTTGCGGCTGCTGTAGACCGAGGCCCACAGGTTCTCGAAGAGCGTCTTGCCGGGGAGCCAGTCGCGTTCCTCCAGGCACAGGCGCAGCGCCCGGCGCCCCCGGCGCTCCTCCAGCCGCACCCGCAGCTCGTTGTACACCCAGTCGGCCACGGCGCCGTGCGACTTGTCAAAGACCACGAAGGCGTCGTAGGACAGGGCGTCCGCGCCCCTCCGGTGCCCCCACCGGGGCAGCCGGGCCAGCGCCAGGTGGAAGCAGTACCAGAGGTCCCAGCCGCACAGGTGCTGCAGCAGGGGCACGGCCACGCCCAGCGCCACCGCCAGCAGCGAGAGGCCGAAGCAGTCCCAGGAGAGCTCCTCGTCCAGGCAGAGCCTCAGGTCCTGCGCGAAGATGCTGCGGCCCTGCAGCTGGCGCGGGCTGCCGCACCGGACGCGGCTGGAGAGCCCGGGCACGGCCTTCTGCACCTCCAGCAGGAAGTCCACGAAGGCCGCCCCGCAGGCGCAGTGCAGGGGGTTGGCGCTCACGTCGAGGACCCTCAGCGTGTCCACGTCGGAGCCAAACCACGAGGGCTCCACCGTCTTGAGGGCGTTGTGGCTGAGGTTGAGCTCTTGCAGCCCGGTGGCCGGAGCGAAGAAGCCGGCATCCACGAAGCTGATGCTGTTGCGGCTGAAGTCCAGGCTCCGGAGACGGGTGTTTTTAGGGAGGCTGCCGTTGGTCAGGGCCTTCAGCTGGTTTCCTGCCAGGTCCAGGGTTTCCAGCTCGGGCAGGAGCGTCAGGCTGCTCCAGTTGAAAAAGGCCAAGTAGTTGTCACGGAGACGCAGCAGCCGCAGGCTCTTGGGAAGGTTGCCCAGGGTGTGTGGCAGGAGGGCGTGCAGGTGATTCCGGGACAGGTCCAGGCGGACCAGCCGGCTCAGGCCTTGGAAGAAGCGGAGGTAGAGATCTCCCTCATTCCACATGCGGTTCAGGGCGTTGCCGCTGAAGTCCAGGGCCCTCAGCGAGGCGCTGCAGAGCCTCGGGGACACGCGGCTGTGGATGGCGTTGTGCGCCAGGCTGAGGTACTGCAGAGCGGGCAGGAGGGACACGAAGCTGAGGTTATGGCCCACGCCCTGCATGCTGAAGGGCTGGCTGTTGTAGCTGAGGTCCAGCGCCCGCAGCTGCGGCAGCTCCGTGAACGAGCGCCCATGGTACAGGTCCAGCTTGTTGTAGGACAGGTCCAGCACCTGCAGGTCGGTCAGCGGCACGAACTGGGAGCCATTGACCGCCTGTGAGATGCAGTTGTGGCTCAGGCGCAGGCACTGGAGGCGTGACAGCCCAGTGAACATCTCCGACCGGATAGTCACCAGGTTGTTCCGGGACAGATCCAAGGTGAAGCTCAAGTTCTTGCAGCTCGGCATGAAGTCCTCAGAGCCGAGGGTATCCTGGGGGCCTGGAGTGAGGCGCCCCGTGGGCAGCCGGGCCTCCTCTCTGGCATCCGCCTCCGCCTCGGAGGCCGCGGGCCCCGCGGCCCAGCTGATGCGGTTGTTGGACAGGTCCACCCGGCGCAGGCTGGGGAACGCCTGGAAGATGCTGAGCTGGGCCTGGTTGATGAAGTTCATCTGGAGACTCAGGTTCTGCAGCAACGGCAGGCGGGCCACAGACTCGAGCGTTTTCCTGCTGAGCTCGCGGAAGAAGATGCCGGTCATGTCCAGCTGCTGCAAGGAGACCAGGCTCTCGAAGGAGGGCGCCAGGTGCAGGTGGGCGTAGGATATCCCCTTGTCGTAGTTGAAGGACAGGTTGAGTTTGCGCAGCTTGCTCAGGCCGTGGAGGGCCGTGGTCGTGGAGATGCATTTGATCAGGAAGTTCTCGCTCAGGTCCAGCACGGACAGGTTGCCCAGGCCACGGAACCAGTTGGCGTCCAGGCTGTGGAGAGAACTGTCACTCAACACCAGGCCTTCCAGGTGGCTCAGTTTGCTGAAAGTGTCGGGATGAAACTTGGGGAAGCCCACGGGGCACTCCACACAGGGGTTGTGGGCGTGGTCACAGCGGCGACAGTTCCCGCCCACGTCAAGGACACGCAGGGCGGTGAGGTTGGCTAGGTCCTCCGGCCCCAGGGAAACAATGCGGTTGTAGGACAGCAGCAGGCTCTGCAGGCCGCGGGGCAGGCCGAGGGGCACCCTCGTGAGGTTGTTGTACTTGAGTGACAGGTGGGTGAGGTTGCCCAGGTCGAGGAGGGCGTTGGGGGCCACCCGCACGGCCCTGCCACAGGGGTTCTCGTAGTAGCAGTTTCCGTCGATGAAGAGATAGCTCAGGGCCCGCAGGCCCCTGAAGCTGGCGGAGTCGATGACCAGGATGTTGGTGCGGCTCAGGGACAGGTACCGGAGGGCGTGGGGCAGGGCGGGCACGGTCGTGATGCTGTTGTAGCTCAGGTTCAGCTCCTCCAGCTCGTGCAAGACCACGAAGGTGCGGGGCTCGATGGTCATGCGGCAGGCCCAGTGCATGATGCTGAGGCTGCTGGGCGGGCAGTTCCACTTGAGGTCGAGGCTGCGCAGGCCGGACAGGCGGGCGAAGTCGGAGTCGTGGAGGTGGCGGATGCGATTGCAGCGCAGAGAGAGGCTGGTGACGTTGCCCAGCAGCGAGGGTGCCGAGAAGTGGGGCACGGACGTCAGGAACAGCCATTCGCAGTTGACGTGGCCGGGGACCTGAAGTTCACAGGGCAGGAAGGCGGGCAGGGCAACCTGGGCCAGGGCCACAGACAGCACCTGGGCCTGAACCAGGAGACACAGGGGGAGCAGAACACCGTGGCTGGA